ATGTGACCAAGTAAAATTAATTTTTTTCTTTGTCCTTTTTTTTTTTTTTTTTTTTTTATCTAAGTAAATATTTTCTTCTGTTTTAGATCCAAACGAAATATTGTATTAACGAAATTCAATTGTCGAAAAGATAAATAAATAAGGTGGATTCTCGCTAAAACTCTTGCTCGTGAATTTGGTGAAAAAATGGAGGTTTTGGAAAAAAAAATTTGGTGAAACGACGGAGAAATGATTTTCTAAAAGTATTCTTACGTATATAGAAAATCTTAACGCTATGTATGAGAAAAAAAGAGAGAGAGAGAGAGAGAAAATTACTAAATTCGACATCGATAAAGAATATTTATTATTAGAAGAATTAATGATTCGATTTTATTGCGAGATCAAATGCATGATCTCTTCTAAATAATAATATCATTCTATAATGAGATAACATTAGAAACCATACAAAAAAAAAAAAAAAAAAAAAACGATAATAAAATTGGAATAACTGAGCAACGTGAAGTAGTTCCAGTAAATGGAGAGAGAGGAAAAAAAAAAGAAAAAAAAAAAAGAAAAAAAAAGAAGAAGAAGACGAAGAAGAAGACGATGAAGTTAGGAAAGCCAAAGAAAAGAGTTAAAGTGATGGTGCCAAAGGAAGGGACGAAACCAGTCTGGCAAGATGAAAAGTAGATTAAGCCAAGACCTCTCTCTCTCTCTCTCTCTCCCTCTTCTTTATTTCCTTTTCTCGTTCTTTCGTCTTATGTTATAGTCGACTGTAGAATAGAAGCATTTGTATGGCTTACAACACGCCTCCTTCAACTATATCTGTATGGAGAGAAGGAAAGCACTTCTCTCATCGTAAATATATAAACTCATACGAGTACAAAACGTGACTAGGACACACCAAGAGAGAAATAGAGAGAGAGAGGGGGGATGGAGGGGGGAGGATATAGGAGAGAAAGATATATACGTATAGATAACTAGACTTTCCTTTCGGAATGCATCCGATGTCTGGTTCGATAATAAGTGCATAGGACACGTACAGGGTGACTCAATTGATCTAAAACATATATTACGTATACGTAAGTAAATACACGATGAAACAATTATGATTGTTTCTTTTCAACATCCAATTTTCTCTAATTTTTTTTATAATTATATATTTTTTCATAACTGTATATAGAAAGAGAGTGAGAAAGAGAGAGAGAGAGAGAGAGAGAGAGAGAGAGAGAGAGAGAGAGAGAGAGAGAGAGAGAGAGATGTACGATTAGATGATTAGAGTGATACGATTTATCTAAAACTTGTTTATAAGTAATAAAGCAAAGATTCATCCTTTTAAAATATTTATAAATACGTGAATATTTTTTCCAAGTTCACAATAACAGCAACAACAACAACAACAATAGTAATAATAATATATGTTATATTTAGGTTGAGTGACACTCTTCTTATTTAAAAACGAAAACAAAAAAAAAAAGAAAAAGAGAAACAAAAAAAAAACAAAAAAAAAATCAAAAAAGAAAAAGAAACCAAAAACAATTATACAGGATAGATACTTTGAATAGAAACGTAAAGCATAATGAATCACCCTGTATACCTGTTTAGAAGATACATTAGATATGCACGTAGAACTAGGTTCATCTTTAATTTATCAAACAAGTAGAGTAATAATAATAATATTAGGAAAATATCCTCAATTTTTTTCTCCTCCCTACCCCTCCTACTCTTTGAACCTTTCAAAAGAGTACTCTTCTCTTCTCCCTTACTTCTCATTAATCCTCTTGGTTTCTTCTTTAGCAACGCGATCATTTATTCTCGTTTATTTATTCTATCGTTCGTTCGTTCGTTTATTCGTTCGTTCGTTCTTCGTACTTGTGCTCCCCTTTTATAGAGCTAAAGAAAGGAATTTCTTCCTGCAAGCTAATGCACCGTGCTAATTGGCAAATTTACGGAGAAACTACTGCAACGGAATGAATGATCGCTTATCCGATCCCAATATGGCTGGAATAAAACGTTTCCCCACTTCTTTCCCTCTTTTCATCGTCATCGTCATTCTCCCCACCCTTATCATCACTACACCCCTCCCCCAACCCTTCACCAAGCCACTTTAATCAGAGACGTCTTAACTTCTCTTTAACTATTTTTCTTTTTGTTTGTTTTTATTTTTTTCTTCTTCTTCTTCTTCTTCGCTCCCCTTTTCCCCCATTATCGTTTTTGTTCGTCCCTCTTGACAGATCTTAGAAAACACTTGAAGCAGAAACTCGTCCAAGAAATCATTCGAGACAGCCTATGTAAATAGGCCACTAGGATTATCATAATTATACAGGGTGAGCCAAAATGTGTTTGTACTTTGTGATCTTAAATATCAATTATATATCTCCTCTTATCTATCTTGTCCTGATTATTTTGAGACTAACTCTTGGGAAAATAATTTTGGCCGAACTAAATCATCTAATACTTTGACGATCTAAATAAAAATAAATAAATAAATAATAATAATAATAATAATAATAATAATAATATTAATAATAATTAGTTCAAGAAGTGTCGAGAAAAGTGTGCATTGATTTTTTTTTCTTTCTTCTTACTTAAATTAACTGGGCATTTTTTGACTCAATCTTTCCTGCGGTACGAAATAATAATAAATTTTTATTATTATGTTCTCGTTTATTTTATTTTATTAATTTATTTATTTGTTTATTTATTTTCTTCTTCTTTCGGTACGTTTATTCCAAAGAACATCGCATTATCTTCCTCTTTATGTTATGTATGCAAATAATGTGCATCTCTCCATTCAGATTGTTACGCTTCGTTTAACTTAACTATATTTACGGAATATATATTAGACCTTTTTTTTTTCTTTTTTGCTTTTTAGATATCATTGAAATTAATACGAAAATATAATTTGATTCTGTAATAAAAATTTTTTTTTTATTTTCTTCAACCAAGATATACACACACTTAGTAATGTTCTATTATTATCATAGACGTTCGAGTTTGTATATGTAAATTTGAATTGATTTCTTTTTTTTTTTTTATCGATCGATCAATTTATCGCTAATGACGTAAAGTATATATATATATATATATATATATATATATATATATATATATATTAAAATAGGAATTACGTAAAGCTCGTGTGACGCGGCAATTCCATCGAGAAAACACATTTGTTAGTTTTTATTGGTTTATAATTAGACGTGACGCGTTGAACGAAAAAGACATTGGTAGAAATCGATTGTGCCTGTGAATTTTTATCAATTTCATGGATATCAGTATCTATGTATGAAGAGTGAGTGTGTGTATGTGTGTGTATATATATATATATACATATAGATGAAAAGTGTAATACATGTCTCAAAAATATTCGACAATATAAAAATTAAATTATATGTATACATTTATAATATATTATTATTATTATTATTATTATTATTATTATTATTATTATTATTATTATTATTATTATTATTAAAATTTTATATATATATATAAACTTTTTCAGATTTATTGTAACATATTTAGGAAATTTTCTAAACACCTTATATTATAGTGGGATCGTCTCTCTTATACACAGGGTGCTTCTCACGGCAACGACCCGACTAGAGGCAATATTGTGCGGCTTCATCGGATTTCACCAACCGGTATAGGACTCAGGTTTCAGTTCTTCCTTATCATCTTTTAAATACTTTTACCCAGACCAGATTAAATTTTAACCAACTTTTATCTATTTATATATATTTATATATATATATATTATTAATAATAATATATATATTTTGAATAAATGCAATACAATATTAAAAATTTTATCTAAAACACGAGTTTACCTATATATGTCGTATTTACATTGTTTAAATATATCAATAACAAAAATATCGATATTGCATATAAAATATATATAAAAAATATATTTATGTGTATATATATATATATATATATATATATATATATATATATATATATATATATATATATATATACACGCACATTATAATAAATAAATTATTAATGAAGAGAGCGTTAAGGATCTACGTGTAATATATAATGAGATCAAGTTTTGATAGATGCAACATTATCAAAATAATAACATAACGAACGAATTAACGAACTAACAATCTCTTTTTCGTGCGAACGTTGAAAACCATTCCGTCTCGTCGAAATCTTACTTTCACAAGGAACACCGATAATTCCAGGAAGTGAGTCGTTTTATCCGAACCACGGCATTATTATTTTTTTTTCTCTAATTTTTTTGTTTGTTTGTTCTTCTTCTTCTTCATCTTTTTATTCGTCTTCTTCTTCTTCTTCTTCTTCCTCACAGCACTTTCACACGATTGTAAAAGAGAGGAAGCTGTTTCCTGATTTCAAGGATTATAATATATATATATATATATATATATATTCGCCTATCATCCTCTTATATATACCATTTTTAAAATTACACTGTGTATATACTACATTTGCTAAGAATAAATTTTTAATTAAAATAATATTCATATTGATCAATTTTATATATACATGTATATATATATATATATTATTTATTTATTTCATATTAAGTGAATTAATTTCTAAATAAATTCACATAATAGTTACAAAATATTAACGTAACGGGAATAAGAAAGAGGATGTGACAGAAGTTCTTTACGGTTACATTTCAAAATCAATTTACTCTTGTTCTTTTTTTTTTCTAGAACTGCTTAGGTCAGATCTTTTTTCTCAGATGGTAAAAAAAAGTTGTTAGGCTATTTTGTAATCTCTTACATAAGTCAGAAAGTAGTTTTTTTTTTTTTTTTTTTTTTTTTTTTTTATAACTTTTACAATTGACCCGACCCTATACAAGTTTACATTGCAATAATTGGTAACTATCTTGAAGTTGATGAATGTAATTATTATTCATTAATAATGGAACATGAATTGAATTATATTCATAAATAAATAAAATCAATAATAATATTACAAAAATTAAAATTGTGTATGTGCATGTGCATGCGTGTGTGTGTGTGTATATATATAAAGTTATCACACTGTACAAACAATATAATATAATAAATTGGACAAAGTAATAGCAATAGCAACATAAGGCAGAGAGACACATCGTGATTCCCTCCTAAGAAAGAAGAAAACTACTTTCACGGAGAGTTGGCCTTTATCGATTTCAAGAGAGGTAAGTAGAGGTAGTAGTACTCATAAAGAAGAAATAAAAGAAACGATGAGCGCCGACCTAACTTACTTTTGCTTTGGACTAACTGATATCGTATTACAAAGGAGAAACGAAAGTCTCGAAAGTCGTCGTCGTCGTCGTCGTCGTCGTCGTCTTGGCTGAGTGAAAATACGTCAAAAGGACACCATATGTTTGTGTGTGTTTGTATGTAAAAACAAAAAAACAAAAAAAAAAAAATAAAAAGGACACAAATAATGTATATATATGCACATGTGATCTATGTGGTTACTTTGTGCTTTTTGGGATATTCAATATCATACGGTGGTTTTACAACAGGATGGCTTTTTTCCCTTTTATATTTTGTATTTTGTATTATTTATTTATTTATTTATTTATTTATTTTTTTTTTCAACTTACCTTCACCTCGTGGTAACGTTCTTCCAAGTAGTAAGCAGTATCCTTTGCTTCCTCGTATTTTGCGGCTAGGGCGACGTACTTGTCATAATGACGTTTGAAAAGGACAAACCTGAAGGAAGAAAAGGAAAAATAATATAATTCATAATAATGTAATTCATAATTATATACGTCGTCGATAATGAAATTCAAATTTCGCGGTTAAAACGTGTGTCCGATGGTAATTACAATTGCGACGGAACTTAATAATTATCATTATTATTATTATTAACCAATCGGAATTTTAATATATACGATAATTATCTACATAACCGAACATTTATTTTCTAATTAAATTAAATATATATATATATATATATATATATATATATATAAAAAAGGAAAAAAAGAAGCTTACATTTTCGAGCGATGCATTTTTATTGGCGAAATTGATTCGATTTCTCTCTCGTTTCTTCCGATCGATAAGAATATTAAAAATAAAAAAAGAAAAAAAAAAACAAAAAAAAAAAAAAAAAAAAAGAGAAAAAGAAATAAACTTTTTTTATTTCTAATTTACTCGTTCTTTTTTCTTTTTTCTTTTTTTTTTTTTTTTTTTTTTTTTTTTTAAGGGCTTATATACACATCATATATCCACACACACATATGCACGCACATATATACATATACACGACACATACAGTGTGGAATATAAACGTCACGTTTGTTAATACTCGCGAGCGAGAGAAAGAAAGAGAGAGAGAGAGAGAGAGAGAGAGAGAGAGAAAGAGATTTGACTTTCGCTTTCACGTCGTATGTTCCTCTCGGAATTAAAGAACGAAGAACCTTCTTTCTCTTTTGCTCCTTTCTTCTTATTTTCTTTACGTTCGATCGTTTTCTTCCGGCTTCTATTATAAACTCCTTAGAAAACTAATTCGCTCGTTGCGTACGTACACCAATAAACGACTGCCGTTCGGAACACGAATGTCTTCTTCTCCTCTCTTTTTTCTTTTTCTTGTCTCTCTCTCTCTCTCTCTCTCTCTCTATCTCTCTCTCTCTCTCTCTTTCTCTCTCTGTGTAGTCGTCACGATCGTGATTTCAAGTAAGACAACGCGTAACGTAGTATTAGTAATAATACTTAGAGTGGTTTGTATTTACTCGGACTGCATATTTGCAATAGGTGTATACGTAGAGACATACGTACGTATATACAAAAGTCACCTTCCAATGAGGAATACAATATCATTTATCGAGGCTATTTGTAATCGATAGTAGTACCTCTCTCTTTCTCTCTCTCTCTCTCATTCTGATGTAATCTTACGCGATCTACAAAACTAATCTATATAAATATATTTCTTATATATGTATGATTCTCTTCTGTTGGTTTTTTTTTCTTTCTTTCTTTTCTTTTCTTTTTCTTTTTTTCTTCTTTCACTTTTTGTCTTTTCCTTTTTTTTTTCTTATTATTTTATTTCTAACTAACTCTTGTTTTTTTTTCTCTCTCTTTCTCTTATAGATCGTACTTCAATAGAATTTATTTGAATTTCACGTCATTAGATTTTACTTTTTATTTATCAGATTTTAATTTATTCGAGATATATATTATATCTTCTGGAATTAAACTAAATTTTATATATATATATATATATATATATATATATAGTTGGAAACTATGAAACGGGCATTGAATGAATATAAATACTAAACAAAAACGCCCGTTTCATAGTTTCTAACCTAATATATTCTTTTTCGAGTTCAAAAAGAAGAAGAAAAAAGGATAAAAAGTCTGTCTTCTCTTGCAAATTAATTTTTTATAGAATATTGAGAAAAAAAAAAAAATATATATTTTCTAAATATTCTTCCTTTCTTTTTTCTTTTTATACCGTCCTTTTTTATCTGTCCAACGATAAAATATTTTTAAATTTCCCGCCTCAGTTTTCAGAGAATATATATAATATAAACATACGTGCATACACATCCATACATACATATATATATAAATATATATATGACGCATTAGTAAGACTTTATCGTACAAAAAAAAAAAAAGAAAAACAAACAAACAAAGAGAAAGATTTCGACGAATTCGAGATTACTTTAGAGACGTCGTCTATTTATTTTTTCTACAAAGCAAAGAGAAGCACTATTGACGACATGAAAGTAACCGAAAATCTTTTTGTCATTCGATCTTAAGGACCCCGAACTATCGATAACAAAGTAACTATCTACCTTCTAACACTTCACTTGAAAGAAGGACCCATAAATAGAAAGGAACGCAGCTGTCCATTCCTTTAGTATGAAAGAATCACGAGAGTTAGAGAGAGA